TTCTTAGTCTAAGAAGCAATTTTTAAGACGATAAAATTATTAATCAGTAGTAAAAATCAAATTTAGTCAGACATACAATTTTTGTAGTTTCAATTTTAGTAGTTTAAATAATTTACAGTCAGCTAACTTTTTCAATTCTGATGATTTTAAAGTGAACAATCTTTTAATTTAAAGTATTTAATTTAAAGTAGTAAAAACCATTTTAAGTCAGGCATTCAAATTTCTGTCGTTTTAATTTCAGTAGTGTAAGTAAATTAAAGGTTAGACACTTATTTTAATTCCAATCATTTAGTCAATAGTCTAAGAAGCAATTTTTTTGAAAATAGAATTATCAATAAGTAGTAAAAATAATTTTAAGTCAGACATTCAGTTTTGTCGTTTTAATTTCAGTAGTATAAGTCAGTTACAATCAGACGTGAAAAATTTTTGAAAAAATTTAGTGTTAGTAGTAAAAATTAATCTTTAGTCAGACAGTAAAATATTTTTTCAATTTTTGTAAATACTACTGTTTATAATTTTTATTTATTTATTCATTTAAGTAAATAATTGAATTTTTATAAATTTATTTTATTAAATTTGTCAACGATTATAAATTTAATTAAAAATAGTAGTAAAGGTAAATTTCAGTCAGACATTTTTAAATCGCAGAATAATTGTCAGTAAAATTCAATTGTGGTCAGAAAAAATTTTCCAATTTCGTTTCTTTGCTATCGATTATCAAAATAATACAATTTTTCAGTGGTAAAAGTCAATTTCAGTCAACCAATTTTGTCGAATTGTTGTAAATACGATGTAAATGAAAAAAACTAATATAACTAATTAAAAATAGAAAAAAAATTTTTAAAAAATACAGATGAAGATTAAAACTAAATTTCAGTCAGTTTTTGCAAGTGAAATTTATTCCAAAGCAAAAATAGACTTGACATCTAATTTTTTTTCTTCGTTTTTTGTTTTTTATTTCGCACTTTGAAAAACGTATAACCTAAACCCTGGGATTTGTATGAAATCATGAAAACACGATGTTTGCGAGAGTGATTGAAAATTCTGTTTTTCCAAACACGGAAATGAAGACTTTTTAGGAGTATCGGTCAGTATTCACGCGCTAGAAATTGGAACACAGTCGCTATTTCCGAAACACGTTAATCATCAATTGGCATGAGGCTCATTCGTTGCAGTGTTTAAAAATAAAAAAAAAAAGAAGAAAAACATGCTTCCAACTAGATAATGCCTGCTGTAAATGACAATATCATATTTGTACTATAATAGATTTTACAACAGATTGCATAAAAATGTCATTCGAAATAAAAACTACTTTTTTTTATGTATATTCATCAAAAGTGACGAAAAATTTTTCCTCGTTTAAACATCAATCATTATTTTTCAATCGAACACAATTTTTATTACTACAAGTAATAAAGAATATTACCCAAAGGTAATAAAGCAAAATATTTATTTTTAATTTACTTTTGTTAAAAGTGATAAAGAATAAAAGAAAATTTATTTTCAATCACTTTCTGTTAAATTAAAAGTAATAAAGAATTGTGTTTAATTTAAAAATTATAATCTGCTTACTTTTTTTGCAAATCGACTAAAATTATCAGCGAAAAAAATTTCATTATTTGGAAAAAAAAATATTTTAATTGACTTGGAAAAAAATATATAAATAAATAAGATCAAAAAATAAAGGAAAATTTTCAAAAATAAAAATGATTTAATAAACTTTGTATAATCTGATTAAAAATACAAAAAAGGAATAAAATTTAAAGTTAAATGATAATTTATACAAAAACTAATTTTTTATTCCTTTAGGCATTGAAATTAAAGTAGTTCCTTCCTGAGAGTGACGGAAATCAGAATTTATTTGGCGGAAAATTTCAAAATTAATGTGCACTTTTTTTAATTTAGAAAAGTCAGAGAGAATAATACACGCTATAAAGGAGAGCTAACTGATAATGAATACAAGAAATAATAAATTAAGCAAATAAGATTAATAATGAATCAAATAAATATTAAAATGTCAAATATAGAAAATAAACATTTAAATAATTTCAGAGTTCACTTTAAGATTTCAGGAAAAAGTAAAATAAAAAAAATAAGTAGGAGATTTTTGATAAAATTTGCAGAAAAATAAAAATTTTCCGTTCTTCAAATTTCAAGTAAAAGGTGATTTTATAATTTACTTTCGTTATTAATTTTCTAATTAACTCGAACGTCTCCGAAAATTATCGCAGAGAGAATTTATTTTTTCTATATTGTCTATCCTAAAAAGTCTGCATTCGTAGACTTTAAAATTGTTTCTTTTTGTACATAATATATTTCATTAGACTTACTTTCCATCAGTCGTCAATAATTTTCAATGATTTAGTTGTAATAATTTATTCTTTAACAATAAATGATTTTCAATTTTTTAACGAGGTATTTATTTCTTTACCCTTATTACTTTAAAAAATTAACTGATTTAAAATTTTTGAAAAATCTAAGTAAAATTTTTTAATGGATTTTAAAATTTGTGAATTTTAATTAGAAAAAATTGAGTCAGTTCTTCGAAATACTAAAATTTGTTTAATAAAATTTATTGTTTTAAAAACTTTTAATTAAATATTTGCTATTTTTTTTTGTTTTGAAACCGCTTCTTTTTAATTATTTCCTAATAAAAATGACTAAATACCACTTATGAAATTATTTTGTAAAAAAAACCTAAATACTGTTTTTTTAATTAGTTGTTATAAAAAATCTAAATACCGTTTTTGTAAAATTATTTTTTTTTTTATTTATATTTTGTAATTAAAAGGACGAAATTCAGTTTTTTTATTATAAAATAATTAATTTTTAATTAAAAAAAATTTTAAATTATTAACAAAATAAATTGTTAATAACGCAAATTATTAATAACGTAAATTATTAATAACGTAAATTACTAACAACATGAATTATTAATAACATAAATTACTGATAAAATAAATTAATAGCAGACAATAAATAATAATTGAATAATAAATAAATTACAAATGAATAGTAAATAAATAATTAATAAGTTATTAATTAATTAAAGCAAATTAGTTAATAATTATTATCATTAGCATTACTTAATAATAACAATGATCATTATTAATTAATTATCAACAAAAAATTATTTAAATAAAAAAAAAAATTCTTAACTACTTTTCTATTGTTCATTAATTTTCAATTGAAAGACAATTTATTTATCATTTCTTTATAAAAAGAAAAAGATAATGACAAATATTTATGATGAAATCTATATAAAGAATATAAAAATTTGTTACGAAAAAAAATTAATCAACAGTGAAAAAATTGCGTTCGAGTTTGCGATTTTTTTTTATAGTTGACTATAAAGAAAAAAAGAGTTAAAATTCAATGTGCGTCAGTAGTTCAAGTCCGCAATGTGTTCAGTCGATAGATATATATAGTGATCGTTTACTGCTTCATCGTACGGAAGCAATTTTCCTTAAATTTATATTTTTATCATCTAAAATTTATATCCTTATAGACAAATTTCTATTTACAATTGTTTTTATCCACAGAAAAGAAAATATCGCAGAGAATTGTATATATATAGAATATAAAGTGTTCTTTTTTAAAAAAAAAAGAATTATTTGAGCGATTATTTAATATTTGAATTATTTTTTGGTAATAAAATAATTATTATATGGAGAATAATTTTCTTTTAAGACTGAAACAATTTTTTATTTCAAAAATATGTTTGGAAAAGAAAGTTGAAATATTTTTTTCATTGTCTGATGGTAAATAATTTCGTGTTTAATCTTTAATTTAATAAAATATTTTTTTATTATTTCAAAATATTTTTGAATTTAGGATTAAAACAATTATGAGGCCTCACAAATTTTATATTATTATTAAAATAATTAAAACATTAAAAAGTAGTTTTATTATTTTTTTGGAAATTATTAAATTTTCAAAAAAAAAACTTTTAAATATTTTTATTTTCAAACGGTTAAAAGCAATTTAGATTTTTTTTTATTAAAAAAATTTTTATCATAAAAAGTTCAAAAAATAGTTTTATTATTTTTTTCGAAAATTTAATATTAAATATTTTCATTTTCAAACACGTTAAAGTGATTTAGTATCCCTTGTAAATATTATAACAATTTTTATCATAAAATGTACAAAAGATACTTTAAATATTTTTTAAATTTAATATTAAAACAATTTTTCATTTACTATCCAAATAATTGAAAGTAAAAAGGTAAAAGAATTTTAAAAAATGCTTCTACTACTTTTTAAATTTTAACTTAATATTAAAACAATTTTCAGAAAATTAAATTACAAATTTAGTTTCAAATACTCTTAATTTGTGCATTTTTTTTTTACAAATAAACAAATATTGAAAAAGTATTTTATTTTCACTTCTTTTTCAAATTTGATATTAAATTCGCTTCAGATGAAAAAGAAAATTGTTCACAATAAAGTAGACAAAAAGAAAAAATCGTAATTATTAATTTGTAGATATAAAATAGATATAAAATAATGATATCAAATTAATAATTTGAATAAAAATTCACCTCTATAAAATATTTCCACAGTCAATATATTCTCCGCAAGAATTTAATTTTAATAAAAAAAATACTGCTATTTGGCAAATGTCTTTGGCATAAAATTGTGGGAAAAAATCTCAAAATTAATTATTGAGATGAATAAAAAATATGGATAATAATAATAATATAATGATTTATGAAAGTAAAGAATTTAAAATTTGCCTCGCCTCAAACTCGCGTTTCATTATAGGGACTCGAGGAGGATTGATTGCGTTCAATATCGCCGGGCACGTTAAAAGCGACGTTCGGCACCGTTGTCGGATCAATTATTTGCGAATGATATTGAGAATTGCTCTGATGAGCAGTGGTTATGGTTGTGGTTGTGGTGGTGGTGGTGGTGGTCTGCGAATGATGTAAATGAGAGGAAGACGAAGGTGGACCTTCGCTGATGGAAGTCGTCGATGTAAGAATGCGCCGACCGCGTACCTGATATCTCTGTGGATAACAACGACGGCAACATGAAAGCAACAATCTGCTTCGGGATGCAGTGCTGTGCGCTGGTGACGTCAATGGCGATGGGGAACCGGGCCTCTTCGGGGCTCCATTAAATGGCACGTCCATCTCAACGAATTCTCGATCCTGAAAATACAAAAAAAAAAAACAACTATTAATTTTCCTTATTTTACAAGTTTCACATTTTTTAGCACTTATTTCTCATTATTGAAAAATAACGTTTTTTTAACAAAAAAAAATCGAAAAGAAAAAATTCTTCTTGATTTTTAATATTTGATTTAAAAAAGTATAATTAACACTATAAGTAGTAAAAATCTATTTCAGGTTAGACATTCATATTTTTGTATTTTTTTTACTTTAAGTAGTGTAAGTCAGTTACAGTCAGACATATTTTTCAAAAAAATTCTTTTTACTTTTTAATATTTGATTTCTAAGAAAACAGTATCATTAACATTATAAGTAATAAAAATTATTTTAGGTCAGGCATTCAAATTTTTCGTCGTTTTAATTTAAGTAGTGTAAGTCAATGACAGTCAGACAAATTTTTCAATTCCAATGATTTCGAAGAGAATAGTCCAAGAAGCAATTTTTTATAAAGATAAAAAACATTAATAAGTAGTAAAAATCATTTTATGTCAGACATTCTTTTTAATTATTATTATTATTATTAATCATCGTTGTTCATCGAAGGATAAATATTTACCATTTTTTAGCACCATTTTAATCATGTTTATTCAGATTCAGTAGTAAAGGTCAATTTTAATCAGACATTAAAAATATTATTTTATCTATTTTAGGTAGTATAAGTAAGTTTTTGTAAGATGTGTAATTTAATATTTGTAAATTTTAGGGTGGTCACTTTTTTAATAAAAAAAATTCACGGTCATTTCCCGATAATGAATTATTTTTCCTGATCATAAAGAAGTCGAATAATTTTTAAGAATTCCTACTGCAACTTATTAAAAATTATTTTTAAAATTTCAATTCAATTATTTTCTATAAAATTTTAACTAAAATATTTCTAAAATCCATTTGTTTACAAGATAATTTAATGAAATTTTTAATAATTTGAAATTTTTTCAATTAAATATTATATACATAAAAATATAACTAATTTGAAAAAACGTGAATAAAAATGTTTCAAAAAAGTTGCTTATTTAGAATTTTTAATTAAAATCTTTTACAATTCAACTTTTTTAAAATTTTAACTTGAAAGTTTTTAAAATTAAATCGATATTGATATTAGTAACAATAATTTAACACTCTAAAATATAGAAATAGTTGTTTATGATTAATGGTAAAAAAACGAATTGATATTAATGCAAAATATAGTTATTTAAAAATTTATTTTCTAAGAAAAGAAATTTTATTTATTTTTATTCTTTATTTACTTAATTTATTATTTAAAAATTAATTTTTATAAATTTAGTATCACTTTTGTTCTAATTAATTTAAATTTTTACTAATTCAAATTTGTTTTGTGATAATATTATTGCAAAAAAAAATTTATAAATTGTATTATTTTTTACTATTTTATAGGATGTAAAATTTTTTCTGTTTCAAATTTTTTCGACGCATTTAATTAAAATTATATTTTCTTTAATTATTGTTAGAAATAGAAAGAATTAAAAATTAAATTTAATATTATCTTTCTTAAAGTCTGTTACATTGGATAACAAAATTCATAATTTTCTTATAAATTCTCGAAATTGAATATTTTTCCAGTACTTTTGATGAAATTCCCTGACAAAATAAAACAATTTTATAGAAGATCATTCAATCTTTTTTAATGAAATGTAATTAATAAGTCTTAAACTAAATATTTCTATTTTTTCTTACAAAATAATCAGTTTTTAAACAAAAATTTCAAAATTCCGGTCATGATTAAAGTTCACTATTTTTACACAAATTTTTTTATAATTTTTTCATTGAAAAAAATTTAACATTGTATTATTTAAAAATATCCCTTATTTAAAATTTCTTTTTCTTTTATATTTTTTATAAACAATCGTTGTCTATCAAAGGGTAAATATTTACAATTTATTTTTAACCCCTTTTTAATGACGCTTATTCAGATTCAGTAGTAAAGATCAATTTCAATCGGGCATTTTATGTGTTTGGATTATTTTAAGTAGTAGAAGTAAGTTTTAGTCAGACATGCAATATTAAACATTTGTAAACACATTACAAGTGATAAAAATAACAGGAAATTTAGTAGAACAGACAATTTATGGTCAGACAGCGTAAACAAAATTTTTGTTAATTTTTTACTCAAAAAAAAGTAAGTATTATCTATTTTTTACTATTATAGATAATTTTTAAAAAAGAAATTTAACTTTTAATACTATCAACATTAATATTATAGAGTACAAGTTATGACAAACGCAACGTTAATTATAACGCTTTTTATAATTATCTTTTCAGTGATAAAACACAATTTAGTCAGACAGATTATTAAAAAATTTTGTTGCAGTCGTTATTGTCATTTCCAGTCGCTTAATAATAGGTAATGTTTATTCTCAATTTATTGTCAGTAGTATAAATGAATTTTAGTCAGACATCCAATTTTCGGTGTTTTAAATTCAGTAGTCTGACTAAAAATATATTTTACTACTGGTAACTTAATTAACAAAAATTAATTTTTAAAAATTAGGAAACGTCGTCTGATCAAAACCAACTTACACTACTAAATTTTCTACAATCTTTTCTACTAGCAAGCAATTAATATCATTTTTAAAAGTTTTTTTCTTACTATTAATTATTTAATATTTACTATTTACTTTTTACTATTTTGTTTTTTACTATATACTACTATAATATTAACATTAACTTTAAAATACAGTATGATGGGGAAAATGACATAAAATAAAAAATATTATCTCTGATCAAAACACAGTTTCTCTACGTGTACTGAAATTAAAAGTTTTCACATTCAAGTCTGACTATAAATGGTGTTTACTACTTATATATGTGTATCCCATAAATCCACCTCTTTAAATTCAACAACTTTTTAAGTCTTTCTCCATACTTTTTTTTTCTTAAAAAAAAATATATATATACATAAATGATGCGCATAAAAAAATGCAATCTTCCCTGTGTTAAAAGACATAACTGTCCCTCGAAGCACTTTCTTTATTATTCAAGCGTTTCAGAAAATGTGTAAGTTTGCATTTAAGTACTAAATTTTCCACACTCAGTAAAAGGTTTTTTGCTTAAATTACACGACGTTCTCTACCACACACGTATATCTATAGAAGAGGCTTCAACTTCTGGTTATGGCTTGCTTTCTATTTTTTTTTTTTTTTTTTTTTTTTTTTTTTTTTTTGATCCGACAGAAAAAAAAGTTGGTTATCCCGAGGCTGCGTGCAAGACTCTAATTACTTGTGCAAAATAAGTCTTAAAAGTTTTCTCACATCGAGTCATCACATTTTCCTCATCAAAAAAAGGAGGAAAAAAAAAATTCTTCAAACATGTCACGTTTAACTTAACTACTGCCAGAAACTTACATTGAGGAAATGAATCAAAAAAACATTTTTTCTTTCCAGTGTAAAATTGTTTTTTTTTTTTTTTTGATAAATAATTAAAGAAATCAGATAAATCAAAGTAATCATAATAAATCACTTTGTACGAAAAATAATTCGTAAATAGAAAATTAGGAGCGAAAGAAAAACGGAAAAAATACACTTTGGAAAATAATTATAATATTATAATACAAAACCGTATTTCATGTTTGTATCGCAGTTTTACTGTGTACTACAAAAAAAAAGGAGAGAAAGAAATAAAAATTCTTTGAAATATACTTTAAGAGAATATAAATGTTAAGTGGAAAAGCGTGTATGTATATTTGTGCATAAACTTGAATGTTTTGAAGAAAAGTGGGGTATAAATTTAACAATTGGTAATAAATAATGCTTTACAGCCCGATCTCCATAGCCTTAGAAGAAACTTTACAGTCGAGATATATATATATATATATATATATATATATATATATATGTATATAGGATAAGCTTTAAGTTTTAGGGAGCTTGTCACGAGACACCTTCCATTGTAAACCCATCGTTTATGTATGTTTACAGTACTTTGTACATACTATAAATTAAATTGAGAACCAAGTTTCCCTTCAAAATGTTTATGCCATTCAGAATGGACAAATATATTGGTACTTGGGGATAATCCAACAATAAGATTGTCTAATAAACACTATGATATGAATATATATTAGGAAATAAATTCAGAAACTTCAAATCGAAGATTAGAATTTAATTTTCACTCAAACGAGTTGACTCAAAAAAAATTAAAAATATATTATTTTTATTTCTATTTGATTTTATTTACATTTAAGGTTTATTTAATGGTTTTATTTATAAATTTTTTTACAAATTAATTTTTTCTAATATTATAATGGTAGTTGAATTTTTATATTTACCAGAATTTTACAGAATGTTTTACTAAAACTGACCTTTAGTCCTCGGGGATAAAAGAAAAATAAAATGTCTCAGCAAAAACTGACTTGTACTACTTAATTTCGCGAAATTAAGTAATCAAACCGCGGTTTGATTCCTTACCTATACTTAGCTACTAATGTTTTCAAGTTGTAAATATTCTATTATTTTTAATAATTTTTTACTTTATTAATTTTTTCTTTATATTAATTGTAATTTTAATGTCTGACTATACATGACATTTACTACTTACAACAAACGTTATATTATTTCCATTAACTTCATTTTAACAATCAAAACTTGTATTTAATTTACTTCTCTTTCATTATTCTTATTATTTTAATTTAATTAATTATTTAATTAATTTAATTTAATTCTTGACATTTATTACTTAGAGAACGTTGAAAAATCCCCTGAAAATTATTTTTTCATCAAAGTGGAGCTTTTGGTCAGTGTCAGTTAAACATTTATTTAAACTTTTAATAAACAATTATTTTTAATAAAAATAATTAAAACTGCACAATATTCTTCAAAATTTCTTTTGTGTGTTAGTCAGACATTTATTATATCTTTGGTAAAATAATTATCCTTATAAATAATAAAAAAAATAATTACAAATGTAGAAAATAATTGAAAATATTTTCTAAGTAGTATAGGTCAGTGTCAGTCAGACATTTATTA